TCAAAGCACGAATGGTCTACACTATATTTGTTTAGACAGCTCTTTTCGCGCACTACATATGTACATACATATGTACGTATGTAGCAATCAAAATATACAAAAAATATTACTACACCAATTTTGTCCAAAAAACACGACTAAACAGCAGTTTAATGGAACAGCTAAGCATGACGCACAAAAGTCGTGGAAAGGTGCTTACATATTTACATACAAACGAGATGCACAAATGCAATTGAAAGATGCAACACAGTGCATAATAGAGGAGACATGAGGCACAGAAACGAAACGTCAAGGAAAATAAAACAAAACTGCGAGATGCATGCGCATAAACAAAGATGCTGCCGGCAGAATTGGGTTGCCATAAATATTCACGAGAAAAAAATGAGAATACGCACACCACGACGTATACGCAACATCCGTCCATTTCGACCAGCTCGCTCGCACGAGCATACACCCGCGTTCGCTCATAAATATTTAGAATTTGTGGCACGCATACGAATGACATCAAAAATGAAATAAGAAAACAATACAAATAAAACAACAACAAGTGGAATGACAAAGAACAGCAATATTTCTCCAAAATTACGACACCAACAAAATGAGTAAACAACTTTTGCTTTTTAGGAAATACGAGTAGAGTTAATAAAATAAAACCTGTGGAACAATATGTATTATCATCTGTGTTAACTGTAAAAACACAAAGGTTCGCCTTAAAGCAACATTTTACTTTTTCAAAAACATTTTAAATTTAATTGTTTTCGAGAAAGTCATTCGTAGTTTAACGCAAATAATTATAATAATAAACATATACATACATATATGTGGGTATGTTTATATGCATTGATTCAATGGGCCCACATATGAGTAAATGTACGTTTGTATATATTTCTTTCAGTAAATTTTTTTCACATGAACTATAATAAAATTCAACATTTTTTATGATCCACAGAAACGACATTTCAAATGACATAAAGAGCACTTTTATGGCAAATGAGTTAGAATTTGAAAACAAGTAAAACTACAATTTTTTCGTTTAGTTTTTCGTTTGCCGTAAAATTGCACGAGTGCAAATGAATATATTTTTAAATGTAAACACAAAGTTGTTGTGGTGTGTGAATGACATATTAATATTTTCGAGAATTGGGTGTAGCACGCAGCAGGCTTCTAATGCGGCAGCCGTATAACTGTTTATAGTTATTGCTATAAAAGAAGAATATGCAAATTTAATTACGGTTTCAATTTCGTATTTGTCAGAGGCGTCTTTGATGTGTGGAAGACATTAATTTCTGTGTGTTTGAAGCAGCTTTTGAAAAGTTTTTGAATTCGACTTGCTTTAACTCCATGATTTAGAGTTTTTATTCCCTTTAAACTACTAAATATAATAACTACAGATTAGAAAACTGATTTAAGTGCAAGTAAACCTGATTTTCCTTACTGCTCTCTAACAACGAAAAACTAGAATTTAATTTATCATATACGAGGTGTGTTCAAAAAAGAATCGCGAATTTTGAATTTTCGCCGGTTACGTATATTAACTATTCAGATTAGAAAATTCTAAAAGCAATTAGAATAGGAATAGTCCCAAAACCTCCATTTCTTGTAGTTTTCATACTCGTTATTCGTATACAACCGACCGAAAACCATACCAATAGCTCAAACTTTCTTTGTTAATAGATCAGCATCCTTTTCCGCCGCCAATCTTCCTACTGAGTGGCTCATTCCGTGCACGTACGTATATACGAAATGTAATTGTAGGCGACGGCAGATATAAATAATACAATGTTACCCATAAAAACGTGTATACGTGATTTTTTCTTTTGCTTACACACAGATACATTTAGAAGTACTCGTACGAGTACACACAACCAAACAGTGGAAAAATTATTAGTGTTCACAACACGCAATATCAGGCTACTGGCATTAAAGTAGGCGTACGCCGGCAATTGCTTCCAACAACGTGAGTTATAAATGTTCCCTTGCACATGTACGGGTACAATAATATTCCCGAGTGAGGCATAAACCCAGTGTTAAACATGAATGCCATACAAAGTGCTCGTAACCAAACCGAAATACATGACCCAAAAGCCGAAAAGTTGATGGGTCGGTGCGTCGGTGTGTTGTTTGGCTGTTATTTACTTGTAGTTGCAAGCACTTTTATCGTTTTGGGATAGAGTCTTTGTCTACATAAACAAAAAGTAATTTCTGGGCTCGAAGGGGTGGCTACAGACTATAAAAATGCAGTATAAAAGGTTGTAAAGCGTGTAAAAAGTATTTTCGTACAAAATGTGTGTATTTTTGGTAAAGAACGTTTAAGAGTGTCCGAGAGTTCTGAGAAAAATAAGTCTGCAATGCAAATAAAAATTTGGCGCAAATATGAAAGGGCAAAGTGATTTTTAGACACAGTCCTCTGGTGCAATAAAAATTCTTACGTGACTATACAGGAATTTATTTGAGGAGAGAGATTGTAAGTTTGTCTTTTATATTTGCATATGTCCCATTGTTGGCAGAGTCTCTCACATTAAACGTAATTATATAATTTAGCAGCTCTTTCGAGACTACACGTGCGCTTATGGACCTTTGTGAATCACTTTGCTTGATTTTTATTTTCGAGTAGGAAAGATTTGTGTCGAAATATATATAATTTGTATATATCAATTTATAGAGCTAACGTAAAAGAATAAAAGTCGTGTGTAGAAGTATTTCGAAGGTAATTTCGGATTGGTCTTAATTCAGCTCTAACTGGAATCACATTTTACTCTTAACCGATTTTTCATTTCTGCTGAGCATTATATTTTTTTTTAATTTTAAATAAATAGTTTTTAGCAAAGTTTGTTTTATCTATTTGAAATTATAATATAATTTTTTTCCATAGATGGCGTAAAGACGAACGTAAACCGAGTGCCGCTTCTGAGGCTGATATTGAACGATTTTCGATAACACCTTCGCACTTTGTACATATGTATGTGCTATGTGCTTATAAATGGGTTAAAATTAACATACCAAATGAAATGCGTTACTCATACGCCCTGTGGTACGCGAAGTCGTAGCGCAAGTTGAGCAATACAATGCCGGTGTGTGTGTAAATGATGAGTATGTCAAAAGCAGCCGAGCGCCAGGCACGAATTTACATATCTATATGTACATGCATGGTTTTTTTGATATCAATTTGCCTGCAGATGTGCTACATGCATGAAAATCTGCCACGAATCAGTTCAATGATAGCGTACATACGAGTACTTATGTATGTATTATATACTGTTAAAAAAAAACCATTACAACGCTTAACATTTGGCTGTAAGTTAGTGATTGTGCTTACAAGCAGTACATATATGTATATCCGCATGCATATACGCTTCCGAGTCTGCAGTCATATCAGCCAGAGTGGCGATTAACATACATAAATATTGCTGTTGGAAAATTTCTTTATTACAATTGCGGTGGCAATAAGAGAGCATATTCGTATATATGTGCATGCATACATATATAAAAGTCTGGATATTATGCGCATCGTAAAATGTTTTATTATGCATGTGAAATATATATGAGTGTAAGCGATTAACATGCAAACTATGTAGATTTGTGCTGAGCACGCGAGGGGGACTTGCTCTATTGGCCTCATTGCTATATTCTAAAGTAATTGCCCGAGCATTTTTGCCAATGGGCAAGTAGTAGTTCATAAATAAATTTTTGGAATACTTATGAGATAAAAAGCTTGAACGTTAAATTTGCTCTTAGTTTTGCATTTATTTTTGAATTTGGCAGAAGCAAGGACTGGAAACCTTCGAGAAATATTCACAGATCCTAAAATGTGCTTGGGCAACAAGAGTAGCTCAGCTGGCCACAATTTCCATCAGGGCTCCTAGTATTCAAATAGTTAGTTATTCCTTGTTCATGTGGCTCATAAGTCAGTTTGGAGTTTTTAAATTCGTTTTTTTTTTAGCTCATTAAGTCTTTGATACACCCTTACAGTTGTAACTTATATAAAATTTATTAAAAATTGGCAAAAAAAATCAGAAATTTATTTAGGTTTGCAGGTTTGATTAAGCAAAAGGCGTTTCAAGACCGCAAAAATTTTTCAGTTTGAAATAAATTTGTGACTTATTCAATTAATTTTCAATATTATACTAACGAAACGCATGTTAAAACGAAGATTTGTAAATACATATATATAAAGTCAATTGCCTTTAAAGAATTGCAAGATATTTTAGATAATAAAACCCTAATAAAGACCCATCTCATTTAAATAAATTTTAAAATACTCTTCTCAGGAACTTAAATGTATTTAGGTCTGCTGACCCATTACCAATTTTTTTGGTGTTTTTCCTTTTCCTAACCCTTTCTTAATTCAACCTATAAGTTAACAAAATTATAAGCTGAATTCCTCAATTTCCGTTAGAACCCGCAGTGGTACATATTTATTTATAATCACACAAATTATTCATTATATTCTGCCAGCTTGCAAAGATTATTACATTTGTCATATAATACTGACACAGTTATATTAAGCTATAATATTATATTTATAATAAAATCAGCCAGCCCACTACGTTTCTATAAGACCTTCAATTGGCTGGCTGCCAGCCTTCCATTGTTTCATTCCCCACAGCAAATTCACCTTGCGCCATTATTCACCCACTGCCTAGCCAATGGTTTTTTATTTTCTGTTTCGATTTTTTGCTTGCTACTTTCATAACTTGCAATTTCCCACGTAATTTGTGCCTTCCCTTTTGTGATCTGTGTGTGTGCGCTGGCTCGGCGGAGGCGACTTAGTCACATTGTTAAAAACTTTATTATTATTTCAAATATTCCCGAGCCCATTGGGGAATAATTATGCCGTCTAACCGCTAACCCGAAGGTACCCCCTGCTATTGTATTTCCCTGTTGCTCAGTACTCGTCTGTCTATTTAAATTTAAATCCTTGCGCGATGACGACACTGCGCCTGGGTCGCCCGTGCGGGGGCGCCTTTGTAAGTAGTATGTTTGTCCGTTGCTCAACTCACCTGCTTCTATGTCAATTTAGAGTTGGCTGTTGTCAGCAATATCCGCAGCTTCAGTGAGGTGTATGCGTGTTTGCCTTCCGACGTCTCTTGTCTCTTGCTGTACTTTTCACTATCTCCTCAGTTCGATCGTTGCTTTAGGTTTTTACTGCTTGGCTTTCCCTTCTATCTATGTGTATTTAATTGTTATTCTTCCTTGCTTCTCTGCACTCCCTATTCTATCGTCAAATTGTGTTTCATAATTATGCAAATGTTCATAATAAAACTACCGCAATTGTTGTAGTCGATGTAATGTTTTGCTTTTAGCGGGCGTCCTACTTCATCACCCTTTCTGGCGATGTACGTGTATCTAAGGGCGTTCAAGCTGTCAATACGTTGTATTTGTTCCGGTCCCTTACACTTGTGTGCTCCTCCGTTGCTTCCTTACATTCGAAATTGAATTAATAATCTGAAATGATGAGAACGATGGTTGGGTTAATGGAAATTTAATTTTGCCATTGAAATTGAAATTGACATTTGGGTAGTATACATATCCATATGTTAATAAAAAAGTGTGGTGACGTACTTAAAACTGGGTGTAGCTTATGCAAATATATGTACATGCATATGTATGTGTAATGATTCGGGTAGAAGTTCAGAAAGTGTTTTGTATATCTATAATTTTCATTTATATCCACGCAATATTGATTTGTTTAAAGGTTTTCCTTCCTTCTCACCACATATCCGGCTGAACTAGGAGATATTTTCTAATGATTTCCTGAACTAATGGATCTTTTCAGCGGGCCGAATGGCTCGGCTAGTGCACCTAGACAAGACCAAGCAAATCTTCTATTCCAACACAGTCAAAACAAGTGCATTCGGGTCGAATAATCACTCTGGATAACAGGTGCTTTAAGCTGAGCAGGCGATTAAGGGACTAATTTCTTGCCGAACAAAAATAATAAGGTGTTCATCATTTCCGTATTGTTCATAGAGTAGAGGCTTAGACGGCTTCAATATCGAAGAAGTCGGCTTCAGGAGTTTTCGAGAAAACGTTTTGTGGACCCTCGACAGCGAATACCATAGACGAGGAAAGATGAGTTGTTTGAGATGAGACGCCATTAACATAGTTCAATGAATTAAGAGATAGCGGCTAAGCTAGGTAGGTCCTGATGTCCGGATGTGTTAAACACTCCAGCTCTGAAAGTGGCCGACGCAGTGTCAAATTGTCAAAGTTGAAGCTGGGGAAGGGAATGGTCCAGTGAAGAAACCCCTTCTCAGATTACTGCTGCTTGCCTTAAAGTCTGTATTTGGGCAGTAGATGAAAATCTATTTATAAAATAGCTTATACCAAATGCTCAGCTTAAGATTAATGTTATACCAGCAGCAACAAACTGTTTAGTGGCTGAATAGCCAAAAGGAAGTGAAAACCTTCCTTCACATTTACGTCGACATTTTTTTTTTTTTTTTTGTTTTTTTTGAATACAGACTGTTCCACGCGGCAAGTATGTGTTGTTGCTGTATCTAATATTTTGAGCCGTATGTGCCATGCCAAATTATGATACAAAAGCCAGATCTACCTACTACGCCACCACAAATTACTTAGCTGAGTAGCGTTCGATGGAAATCAGAATGCGGAAACGCCAACGCAAAGGCGTAACTAAATTGGGAGCCCCACAGAGTAACGATCGCCTAACAAATCAGTTAAGAGTAGCAAAAGAGTTGAAGACTAGCTAACTATGCGTGCAACACATATGTGGCGTGCGGCGTGTGGCATGTGCTGCAACATGCACACAACGTGAGCTGGCCACTTATCAGCGCGGCATCTCTCTACACCAGATGTGCGGCTGATATGGGAAAACAAAGCAAAGCTGGAAGACAATACAAATTGCGAGCAGATCATTAGCTAGCTACTGGGCAGGGGATTCGCTGTATTATATATGTGTGTGTGTCTATATATATAAGAGTATGTATACGATATAAGCATATGTGCTGATGATGAAGAGGCGGAAGTATTTCACCAGCTACTGTAGCGTTTAATGAGTTTGAGGCGTGGAATTTTTAAGTGAGTACACAGGCATAGATACATACATACGTGTACGTACATATATTTGAATTCGTTATGCAAGAGCGCATATGGGCGCTATATAGACACATGCACACATACACATTTGCTTTACTGTGTAAAGTACTAATCAAAGTGAATCGGCAACTAATTTAAATGCACGAATGCAAAATACTCGTAGAGTGAAAACAAATACTCAATGCATTAAATCTGTATGTGATTATGTATGTTACGTCGTATCACTTAATAAATATTTTCATCGCGTTCATTTAAATGACAAAGGTATTCTGTGCAATAATCAAGTCATCAACTGTGACTGCACTTTAAATTCACTCCAATATTTACGAAAAATATACATAAGTACATATGCGAGTATAAAAGACCGAAAAAGCTTATGCGCTGTAATCTGACGTCGAGTCGTAGAGGTAAAATTCGCAAATCACATTTAAATGTGGGTCATTTTTACAAGTCCGTTCGGCGGAGGTTAACGATGATTATGTATTTAAAACACATTTTTGATTACCTCTATTTACCCCCAATAAAAAGTAAATAGGAATGATAAAGAAAGGAGGCAAGGCATGAGTTTAGTGTGTTTTTTTAATAACCGAACTCCGCGATGGACTAAGTTTTTGCAGAGACGCTGTAGTTGAGTTAGTATATATGGAGGGATATGAATATGACAAAATTGTATTCACTTACAAATATAAAAAAAAAAATTCAGTCACTTAACATTTCGAAACACGAAAGCTCGCCAAGATTCAAAACCGAATGATGTAAGAAATATAATCTCCTTCTTGAGACATAATAGAAACCTTAAATGAAATTGAGAATACTTTACAATAACTCCGCAGTTGCTCAGGCGAGACTTCAAACATCGCCAAGAGCTTCGTCGTTGAGAGCTGGATTTGTTTGTCATTTTATACAAACTCGTATCTCTTTCATTTCCTGCAAAGCTCTTCTTCTTAGTGATTCATAGCACACGCTACGCGTTACTTAACCTTAGACTTAACGGTAATATGTGCATAAGTGGCTATAAACACTTAGCGGATAGTGACCGAACGCTGGCAGCCAAAAGCAAACAAGCATTGATGGACCTACCTATGTATGTGTGTAGATTTCTTTTGTGATATAAAATGACATGTTGTCCTTAAGATTGATGGAAGTAGAGTAATATATATACGCGTGTATGTGATGTACTCGTATGTATATGTGAAAATGACTTTTATGTATATTAGGCGGTAGTGGGTAGCGGTGTATGCTGGAAGTCGAATGGTAGTTGGTTCGGTCCCTGGCAGAGCCGTCATCACAAAGCACATCCCCACTCAGAGGTGAGGCCTTCAAAAGTATGTGTGACCTAACGGTTTGTCACGTTTATGCACACAAAAACAAGAGTAGTCATTAAATATAACGGTAAGCCTTTTTGCCGATAAGAATATATTCACGGTCAGTCATATATACTCGCACAGATGTAAACATATATGTACATATTTACATATGCAAGTCAGTCAACAAGTCGTTTAGTTCGTAACCCACTTAATCCGAATCGTCACATTCTCTAAGTAAAACATGCCGTGCGACATACAATTTGCTAAAAGTGCAAAACAATAATCAAATAAGAAAGAGCCAGTTATGCATGAGTCCGAAAAATTAATGTTCCAAGTACTTTTCAATTCTGCCAAGGGTGACTCTGGAGTTACAATATTTTCAAATGATTGAGACGGATGCGGATTGCTTTACATTGTTGCATGCAATTTATAACATCAAGGTATTGTATACTATTTTATAGATTTAAATATATATTTTTCATTAAGTCGGTGTGTGTCAATTACGAAAGGCCGACATCCAAAGTAATTGAAGAAAATTCTTATTATTGTCGCGGTTTAACCGTTCAAAGGCGGCTTAGAATAAACTTTAGGTCCACCCAATTGTTGGAAAAGCATCAAGACGCTCACCAAAAGATCTGAGGATTTAAATTGCATTCTTTTTTACTCTCACACATAATATGCATTGGGTCGGGTGCGTTGGGTTACAAATATGTATTAGATGCTGCTCACGCTGCGGAATGAGTGCGAGTATTTCACGTTCATGTTGATACTTTTTGAAACTGTTTGGGTGGCGTTTGCGGTGAAGGTTTGTTCGGTCGTTCATTGTGCGGAGAATCATTTCTGACATCGAACATGACTTTCTGCTTGTTACTTGCCTGCATTCATACAACAATGTGTATATACAAGTACAATCAATTCGAGTCCATGGCGTTGACGTTGAGGTTAAGTTCCCGTACCTTCGTTCATTCATTCATTGAGCTTGTTGCATTTCCGCTTTCCCCACCTATCCTTTCCTTTGTGCGATTACTTTCAAAAGACTTTCTGTCTTGTTAACTTTTCCCAATGATTTTCATTGCAGCGTGAGCTGTATTGAGTTTAGCTTGGCTTTTACATTCGACTGATAATAATTTGCCTCATTCAAGCATTAGGCGCCAGTGGAAAGCGAGTTAGAATTCGTACGAGTATTAAGCTAATAAAGAATGCCTTTGGTTAGTTGACTACTTCAGACTTAGTCAGTATTGAGTGACGGTGATTGTTCCCCTTGATGTTTCTGGTTGATAGCGGTGAAAAGAACTCGTACAAATGCAATAAATGTAAATCAAAAGTAGGCTCATTTTCATGTTTATAAGGTTACCAGATTTATTGTTTTTATTTCCCTGTGATAAGTTGAAGCCGATGACTTAACGTGTATGCAGAAAGAAACTCAACCCAAAACTTGTAAAAGCGGTAAAATGGAAAAACGAGAAGCATGTTCTTATACAAGAGGGTTAAGCAGAGAACGTTATGTAACGTGTCTTTGTGAATAAAAAAATGGCATATATATCATACATTTATAAATACTTCCGAAAGGGCTAGAAAACGATGAGGATGAGATGGAATTAGGCGCAAGGGCAACGAATTTTTGCCCGCGTGGTCCCCAATAGGTTGCAGAACTTAGTGGCATCACACTCGAGCAGAATGGACATTAGTAGAAAGTTCAGGGAGGAAGCCTTGCTTCTGTCCGGACTTGCCTTATAAGTCTGGCAGCTTCGCAATTCAAAGAACTGGATGAAAAATCAAAACTGGAAATCCGTGATATCTCAAACTGCACAAATGGCTACTATTTTAGATCGAATTAAACCAAAACTTGAACACATGGCTCTTCAAAGCACCAGCAGGTCTATGTAAGACGTAACAGCCAACCGGAATAACCAAATCTATATATACGAGTATGCATGTTTGTGTGTAATTATGCATATAGACCAAAAAATAATTTACAAACTCAACTCAACTCAAAAGACATATTAATATTTAAAGCAGAATTTCAAATTTGTAAAAGTTTTATTTCTTCTTCATAATGCTGGCAATATTTCACTAAAA